TATTATTATGTGTGTGTGTGTGTGTGTGTGTGTGTGTGTGTGTGTGTGTGTGTGTGTGTATGTGTGTGTTATAAATATTTTTGTTCAATATAATTTAAATAAAACGAAATTTGTATATTATTAATATATTATTAATAAATATATTTGTATATTATTAGTAACTTACATTTTTTATATTAAAGGCAAACGCAACGTATTTTATTATAAAGTTTAGAAAGAAAATTGCAGTTGAAAGAATAGTAACAACATAATCGGAACCATGTTTAAAAGTTAAAAATGCAGTAAACTGAAATCAATATTTTTATTAAATGTTTGCATTAAAAAATTTATAACATTTAACATTTAAATTATAAATTCTTAATTAATAATTATACTTTATGTAAAACAAGTAAAGAGATCTTATTATAATTAATGTAACTATATTATTAAAATTAATGTAACTATATTATTACAATTTAAGAAAGTTGTAAATATTGTAAATATTAATAGTTATTGTAAATATTAATTGGTTATAACTTATATATGTTGCAATAATAATATAAAATATTATCTTACTTGAAATAAAATAGAGCTTGTCAAAATACCAAAGAAAAGGATGAATTGAAGACGAGTGAGTTTTGATTGTTGATAGGGCCATAAGCCAAAAGCGAGTAAAAGAGTTCTGTTAAGACTGAAATATTGCGTTTCAATGCAGATCATCTTTCTATCTATTCCAAAACATGACTGCGAAGAAATTGAAAAGAGTGCGTTTATCCCCTCCTTTTTTTATTGATTGATTAAATATTATCTTTCCTCTTCTGGTATAAATTTCATTCTAATTTCTTTTATACACAATTTTTTTTATAGCACTTGATACTATATGTAATCGATTTATGTATACTATAATCGTTTTTCCAAATAAAATTTACTATTACGCAATCAATATAATGCCATTGAAATTTAACAGATGTTTCCTTTCTCATAAGATAAAAAGAAAAAATATTCTTGAAAGAATGATTTACATGGAAATTACATGAGAGACGCGTAAGCATATTTCTATACTTCTTAAAACCTCAATTTGATACGTTTTATTCTTATTTAGATATTCTTAAGAATACTTCAAGTTTCAAAACTATTCATCCCTTTATCTTTAAGTATCGCTGATTATTTCAAGTTGGTGTTAGATATAATTCTCTTTTCAAAAGATAGTTTTATTTTATATGTTATTTATAATATATAATTATATACATATGTAATATATTACTGAAAAATTAAAATTTAAAGTTTTAAAAAATGTTAACGTTACTAATATATTATTATAGAACTGCGTTGAAAGTCTGCTAAATTAAATGGCACGTAATTGGTGATATAATTATTGTAATTTATTTCATATAAAAATTTAGCAGTCAAGATCCTGTTTGCCATGAATCGATCTTTGTTACTTATTGTTAATATATTATTATTTATTGGAGAGTAACGTTCCGTATAGCAATATATCTTGTGGTATATGTAGCTCCAATATGGAAAAATAAACTGAGAAACAATATAACATTAACTAAATTTATAATTAATAATAAATTAATAAATTTTATTTTATTACTTAAATTTTAATTTTGAAAAAAAATATTCTTTTGTGATATAGACAATATCTTTTTTTAAATATTTCGAATTAAAAATAATAACTTCTGAAATATCAGCTTTAGCTAATCTATATAATTTTAAAACTTTAGTGTGCCATTATAGCTAAATATAAATTAATTTTATTATTTATTGTTTGGTTGTACTAATTATATTTATATTATATTTTTATTAGATTTGTTTTTTTGCCTTATTGTTGCGTGGAATATATGACGGTAAAATAAGATACTGAAGTCTTCAAAAGCTACAATGAATAATGTTGTTAAATATGTCTATTTGTATTAAATTAATTTAAACATAATTCATAGCATATAAACATTTAAACATAATTCATAACATATATATATATTAATTTCTTACAGTGGCAAAACATTCTATAGACGCATAAAATATACCACCGACATTCAAAGAAAAATCTTTGGCGCTTCTTTGCAACAGAAACAATATCAATCTTTGTATATTTAGCGGTGCTATGTACCATTGAACATTATATCTACAAAATATTATATAAAACCAATTAGAACAAATAATTTAAAACAATTAAAAATATAATTTTAACATTAACGGATTGTTTATAATGAATAAAATATTAATCTTTACTTTTAATATCAGATTACATAATACATAATTTTTTGTTTATAATTATATTTATAAACAAATATCTTACGCGGTAACATATATGCAATTATTGTGATTCGTTACATTCTGTCCGACATAATTGGCTATAAACATGTATACTATAATGCTAATTGCAAATACAAGTGGCATCAAAATTTCCTTTATATCTCTTTCAGTCGATGCTATCTGAAATATCTAAAATAGCAATTTCTTAGTTATATTTTACCTACGCGCGCGCGCACACATACACACACACATATTTTAATCATTATTATATCTCATAAATAGCAAATTGTAATTTTTAAAATAATTCGTATTAAAACTAATATATATAAATATAAAAATTATACACAAAATTTTTTAATCAGAACTCTAAATAATATGTATATTATATTATATTAATAATATATACACTTTTAGCATAAAATTATTTAGTGTAAAATTAAAAAATATTTATTCCAAAACTATACTTGCAGAGATTTTTAGATAAAATTCAACTTACTCGAAAGAGATTAAGACTTAAAGAAATTACTCCGAATGTTATTAGACCAAATAGCATTACTTCAAATTTAGAAAGAATTAATTCAGACAATCTTTAAACACAAATAAATATTAGTATATATTTTATGCATAGAATTGTTGCATAGATATTATATATAACCTCATAGCTTGCCGATGAATATCTACAGCATATATTATCCCTTCGAATATCAAAGTTTTGTTTTTTACAGTAATATTTTGTAACACATTAGTTCCCATTGCACGTTCAATACGATAGCTATTAATAACATAAATAATATGTTTAATTTTTTTATTACTCTTTTAATTTGATTTGTTATTGCAACATAAATTCTATCATCATATTTGTTTCAGACTACGTAATTTTATTATGATTAGAATTTTTGTATAGCCTTTTTTTGAATTTATTTTATACCTAGAAATTCGAAACAATCCACAGATATACTCAAGATATGCAATCATCATTGTTCCCGTCGATACTATTACGATAGCGCCAATGCAAATTGATACATGTATATGCAGTACAATTAAATAAAAATATTTTTCTTGATCAATAAAGTATTCTGTCATAATTGGTATATGACGTGGTCGAGATATATTCCTCGGTAAAATAACATTAAGAATATTCGCCCAAAATTGAACGATAATAAGAATAAACACGCTAGAAACACCAAGTACTAAAATTAGAAAAAATACGTTTTTTAAATTCTGTTGTATAATAAAAATTTCTGATTTACTTATATTATATGCATTAAATAAAAAATAGAATAACATGCAAAGAATTAAAAATATTGTTTTACTTGTAAGTGCAACTGTATACCGTCTTGCATTCTGACTATATTTTCTTATGATAGCGCTTTCACAATCGTCTTTCAATTCACTGCATGTATACTGAAGTTGCGCCAGTAAATCTTTTATCTATCGACTCAACAATTCATTACATTATTTTTATGACA